GGGCTCGGGCCCGCAGGCCCGCGGCCATGTCGCGCGGTCGGGGCCGCCCAGCCACCGCGCCTCTCGGCCAGACCCTGCCGCCCCGCCGTGCGTGCTTTCCTGCTGCTGGCCGCGCCCCGAAACCCTGGCCGCTGCTCCACGGACCGCTCTGGAGGTGGTGGCCGGATCCGGAGCCGCGTTTCCCCGCCACCCTTCCCCCGCGTCGCGTGCAGCCGGCGCCTGTGGATGCTCGCTGGCCTGCGCCGGCGTAGGAGCGGCTATCTGGGCGCTGCCTGCCCAGACACGCCGGCCAGCGGGCAGGACCGGTTCGGGCAGCTCCGCCCGCGGGCGCCTCCGGCCGAGGCTTTCTGCCTACCCAGCAACTTCTAATTTGGGTGCGTGGTTGGGAGCGGCACAGCTGTCACTCTGCCTCAGGGCCGGCTCCGCTTCCTCAGAGGCCACGAGGCTCAGTGGGGTGTGGCGGGTCCTCAGCCTGCTGTAGGTGCCACAGGTGCCGCCGTGCTGGCCGGGGCCCCACCAGCCACCCCGCTGGGTGGCGCCTGGCTGAGCCGGTCCTCATTGCAGGTGGGGCAGGAGCCTCCCAGTTCCCTGAGCGTCGGCCCGTGGAGGAGCCATGACGGAGTACAAGCTTGTGGTGGTGGGTGCAGGAGGTGTGGGGAAGAGCGCCCTGACTATCCAGCTGATCCAGAACCATTTTGTGGACGAGTATGACCCCACGATAGAGGTGAGTCCTTGTCACAGCATGGCCCACGGAGTGTCCCCAATCCTACACGTGGCAAGGGCCTGATTCCCCTATCCACTGCAGAGGCAGGAGAGGTACACAGAGAGTCTTTTCCTGCAAACTCACAACTTGAGGAAGAGCAGTTTGCTGAGCCCAGTTCTCCTGCAGGACTCATACCGGAAGCAGGTGGTCATTGATGGGGAGACATGCCTGCTGGATATCTTGGACACAGCGGGTCAGGAGGAGTATAGTGCCATGCGGGACCAGTACATGCGCACTGGGGAGGGCTTCCTTTGTGTGTTTGCCATCAACAACACCAAGTCTTTTGAGGACATCCATCAGTACAGGTGAGCCACCTGTGTGGCTGGCCCCAAAGCCCCTGGGGCAGAGGAGCTCCCTGTGCAGGTTCTGGATGCAGCCATGCCTGCCACTGCCAACCCACCGAGGCTCACATCCTCCCTTCTCACAGGGAGCAGATCAAGCGGGTGAAGGACTCAGATGATGTGCCTATGGTGCTGGTGGGGAATAAATGTGACCTGGCTGCGCGCACTGTGGAGTCTCGGCAGGCCCAGGACCTTGCCCGCAGTTACAGCATTCCCTACATCGAGACATCAGCCAAAACCCGCCAGGTGAGCCCCGTTCCCCCCCACCCCGCAGCTGGTCAGGGACTTCCCCTGCCCCACCCCAGCCAGGGAGCAGCACTCATGCCCCTGTCCCTCAACACAGGGCAGCCGCTCTGGCTCTGGCTCCAGCTCCGGGACCCTCTAGGACCCCCCCGGGACCCATGTGACCCATCGGCCCCCATGCTGTAAGTCTCCCCGGACGGCAGGGCAGTGAGGGAGGTGAGGGTTGGGGTCTGGGCTCATGCCCTGCAGTCCTGGGCCGACACAGCTGCAGGGGAGGTGGGGGTCCGTGGAGAGAGCTGCCCTGAGCCAGACCGGAGCGGTGACCTGGGACCCACCCAGCCCTTCTTGTCCCCAGACTCCCTGGGCACATTAGTCCTGAGCCCCTAGTGCTAGGGGTCCTGCTGTAGCTCAGATCAGAGCTGGATTAGGATCAGAGCTGGTTCAGGTCCTGAGCCTGCTTGGGGCCTAAGAGGGTCCAGGGCCACTCTGACCTTTGGGGGGTACACTGGCTGCCAGTCTAGGTCAGCTTCTGCACTGATGTGTGGGTCGTGGAATTCTGGCTTTCCCTGGGCAGCCTTACTGTGCTGACACCAAGGAGACCCCTGGCAGTGTATGTGGCCCTAGGCAAGGTTCCTTGGTATTCTCTGCCAGTTCTCTAGGCAGGGTCCTAATTCAAGCCCTCTGTTCCCAGGGTGTAGAAGATGCCTTCTATACACTAGTTCGTGAGATCCGGCAGCACAAGCTTCGGAAGCTGAACCCACCAGATGAGAGTGGGCCAGGGTGTATGAGCTGCAAGTGTGTGCTGTCCTGATCCAGGTGAGCAGGGCCCGGCTGGCTCCCTGAGCCACAGCCCTAGCCAGCCAGCCAAGCCGCATGTTTACTCTGATGCTCCCGGGCTCCCGAACCTGCTGGTCCCTCTGCCTACGATCAGTGGCGTCCTTTGTGCTCCACCCTGGCCCCGGCCCAGGCTCAGGACACAGAGCTGCCGGATGCAGGGAGGAGGTGCAGACGGAAGGAAGGAGGGAAAGAAGGAAGGAAGTGCCACTGGAGCCCAGCCAGCCCAGGGATGGTGGACAGAGGTGACCACAGACCCTCCCATGGATGCTTTGCAGACTGTCATGAACTGTCCCAAACACCACTGGCACCCACAGCCCTGACTCCCTTCCCAGCCCCTCTAGCCTCTTGACAGGTGCAGGTTGATTCACAGTAAATTATTTGATGGTCTCGACTCCAGTCTTGGGTGAGGTGGGCAGCTCCAGTTCCTGTGGCCTCATATGAGGTGCCCAAACCTTGGATGTAGGTTGGCGGCCTCATTGTTGCCTCTACCTGGGGGGCTGAGCGAGTGACCTGGACTGTGTTGCGCTTTCCTCCATGCCCACAATGTTCATGTTTCCTGTGGAAAGCCCTGCATACTGCTAAAAGCAGGCAGGTATTAATGAGAACTTTTTTTTTGTTCAGACTGGCTTTGAGCTCACTTTGTATCTCAGGCTGGCCTTAAATTTACAAGGTTTCCCCTGCCTCAGTCTCCTGAGTGCAGGGATTATAGGCACTACAACACCTGACTAGTAATGCGGATTTACTGTTCTTTAGTGAGGGGCTGCCTTGAGGCCCCAGGAGGGGCCTCAGGAAATGGTGAGTCCACACGCTGGCCCTGGCCTCCTTGTTTGAGTGGGAGCCATTTTCTGTGCTTTTGGGTGTCTAGAGTGCCATGAGAACAGCAGAATGAGAAACCTGGCCGTGGTCTCTGGACTTGGGGAACAGCACCCTACTCTGTCAGCCTGGCCTCAGACCTCTGCCTCCTTGGCCAAGGAGCCCACCCTCCAACTCCCATGTCCGAGAAGGTGAAAGTGGCCCTGCCTTTTCTGGGATGGGCAGTTGCTCTGAGTCACTGGGGGTCACTGTGTAGCCCATATTGTTCCATTCTTTTTTTTCTTTTTTCTTTTTTTTTATTTTAGGAAAGGGTCTACAGGGTGTTCAGGGCCTCACTAGTAGATCAGGCTTATAGTGATCTGCCTGTTTACAGCCTCCCAAGAGCTGGGATTATAAGTGTGCACCACTAGGGCCAGTCTCAATTGCTGTCTCAGTGTGCCCTGGGGGCGGGGCCAGCATGGCAGGCCTGGGGATTGAACTCCCAGCCCCTGCGTCTGCTTGCAGGTGCTTTAATCTGCTGAGCTATTTGGCCGACCCAACCCCATATTGTTCTGAGAGGGTACAGGTCTGCCTCCTGGACAGGCTGTGGACAGAGGGCTCCATGCTCTAGGTCCTCACTCTGACCACTGTGTGCCTCTTTAGGGCTTGGAGTGAGGCCAGGCTAGCTCCTCTGGATCTGGGACTCCTGCAGTGTGGGATCTGTTCCATAAGCAGGAGGATGTGGGTCCTAGTGCTGGGGGGCCAGGGAAGTGGGGTACCACAGTCACCTCTCCCCAGTAAGAAGTATCTGACTGCCCTGGCCTTCTAGACAAGTGGTT